CTAAGGAGTCCCTAATGCGGCTGCGAGGATTAGGACACGGTTCCTAAGCAGGGCCCAGGTTGGCAGGGGGCCCAGCGACGGCGAGGAAATGGGTCTCGGCAAGGCGACCATCTGTTCGCTCCAGGTAAAGCTGTGATTGGCAGACGCGCGAGCCAGAGCTGCCGCTGCTGGGGCCGTCCCTGCGCGGCCTCGAACACGTCTACAAGTCAACAATCCGCCAGCCACTTATGACCACCGCAGGCGGCTGTCCCGGGAGGGGCCCGCGCTAATCAAACATTCAAGGAGGGACGCGACAGCATCCCTGGCGCCTGGGCAAACCGAGGTTGAGCTGAAGTCCAGCCAGGAAGGGGGGAGGTTTGAATGGAAGCTGATGAGCCGCTTCCTCCGCTCTCCTTTTCTCCCCTGCGATGTGTTAACATTTTAATCAGGTTGCTGAGTAGCTGCTGCTGGATCGATGAGCTGGCCCCTGCTCCGGTTTTACTCCATCTGTTTTCTGGCCCGTGGACCTCCTTGAAGTCTCTAAATGATTTACAACCGCCTGTGTCTCTTTACCGCGGGGCTCCTGGCCTACACACACTGCTTGCAGTAAGATATTATCCAACGAGTGACCTCAGCCCTTCCCTCCTGTTTTCTGGTCTCCGACTGACAGCACACACCTAGAAGCCATTACACTCCGTGGCCTGCTTTATGACTGAGGCGAGATGGGAATCCTTGGAGGCTCATTTGTGTCCCGGCTGTCGTGGCAACAGCGACTCCCACAGTGCCATCTGCAGCCCCTCGCCCTGTCCTGAGTTCTGGGTCAGAAAATCCAAATGTAACCTGGACACGTGCATGTGGGTGTCTGGCCACCTCCAAAAAAAAAAAAAAAAAAAACATTGAGGGCAAGGGGCCGGCAGATGGCGTGGTAGTTAAGGGCTCTGGACTCCCACATGGCCAACAGTGGTTCAAGTTCCAGACTTGGCGGCTTGCTTTCTCACGTTCTCTTTCTCTCTCTCACTCTGTCCCTTCTCTAGGCAAATTAAAATAAATAGATAAATAAATAAAGCTAAATAAAATAATTCTTAAAAAATAAAATCAAGGGCAAAAAGGAACTTGTGTTCTTGTCCCCCGGCCAGAGGCTTCTGCCTGCTGGAAACTACGAGCCAGAGCGCAGGAAGCTGTGGTGCCAGGAAGAACTAATATTTAGCAACTGGCTCCCTGGGAGGGGGAAAACCCCGATTTGCACATTTTCATGGTACAAAGCCTCCCGCCATAGGCGGTTTCAGGCCACCAGCAGGAAGTCCCTGAATGCCAAGTGGGGAGCTGTGAAGCCTGAGCTCTTGCAGGCTGGCAGGAGCCTGCTCCAGCACGCGAGGTGTGGCAGGAAACATCCGGCTCCTTCCCTTACTTAGGCCTCATGCCCCAGAGCTTCTCTCTGCTGCCCTGCTAGTGCGGCCCGCAGAAGGCTCCCACCTGACCTCCCCATGAGCACTCACATGCCCTCCCAACTGATTTCCATAAATCAGCCAGTAGCTTTTATTTAAGGTGTTTTGTTTTGTTTTTGCCATAAGGTGTGTGCACTCTCTAGACACAAAGAGACAGTGAGACAGAAAGTGAGAGACTCACCCTCTGGGGGGAATGGCTACACTATATTCTCCTTCTTCTTCATTCTCCTCTCAGGATTTTGGGCACGCACGCACACATACCCAGTGTGATTTTCAAGCTCCCAGGTCTGGGACTTGAACCACGGTTGGTCATGTGTGAGTCCAGCACCTTAACCACCATGATACCTGCTGCCCCTCCTAGCCAGTATCTTTTTTTAGAGAGAATTTTGATGTAGGGCGCAAAATATTTCTATGCTTCCCAGAGAAACAGAGAGACAGAAAGCGAGAAATCACCCCCCAGGGGGGATGGCCACGCCGCAATTCCTTCTCCTCCATTCTCCTCTCGGGGTCTTAGTCACATACACACACACGCCCGGTGTGAATTGTAAGCTACTGGGTCCAGGACATGAACCACAGTCGACTATGTGGAAGTCCAGCAACATAACCGCTACTCCATCTGCTGGTCCCCTGCCAGTATCTTTTTACAGCAGCAATCCAATAACATGTTATGTCTCTGACCCAGCAGTTCCAAGATAAATAAAAACATCCATCCACATACAACCTTGACATACATGTTCAGAGCAGTGTTCCTCATAATAACCAAGAAGTGGAA